CCCCCCCTCCGTGGCTCTGCAGGTGAGCTGTTTGCTCAAACCAAAACCAACAGAAAGCAAGGAAAACCATCTGCCAACACTGACCACGCTTCCCAGGAAGGCTGCCACAAATGTATTAAAAGTAACAAAGCTGCACATTGCTCCTCACTCTCATGAAAACTGCCCCGGGAAGCAGAGCTGGAGAGCTCTGTGAGCAGAACCAGCAGCTACTTACCCCCCTGACAGCACTGGGGACACAACCCTTACGAACGGTGGATCGAAAGGAAAGTTATCCTGGAACGAGAGAAGGGAAACACGTTGAGAAACGTCTCCTCTGGTGGCTGAGGGCAGCGGGCGCGCGTCGAGGACGGCAGGTTCGAGAAGCCTTACTTTAAAGGAGAAGTTTAGGAGGATGAAATCTGTTCCTTCTTTTTCTTTGAGGATCTGGAGATCGTTGTGCAAAGCGCTATCCTCGTCAACCCTGTTGGAAGGGAAACCCAGAGGCTCAGAGCGGAGGTGATGCACCTCAACTCAGCCACGCTCGCTGCCGCTTGGAGCCCAGAGCTCCCCTACCTGCACAACCCGGCTGCCACGGGGGCCCTGGGTTCACACCCAGAGGGCAGTGACAGCACGCGCTGCCAGCATTCTGCTCCCGGTTTCCAGAGAAGACCATCACACCCTTTTTGCATGCCAGCTTAAAAATAAAGACCGCCCGGCCCAAGGGAAAGGCAGCACTGATGTCTGGAGGGTGTGAGAGCTCGGGGTTTTGCCTGATGCACCTCTTCCAGGACTCTAGGAACAGCAGACAGACTCGCAGAGCCCTCAGATTAGCTCATCTTTCTCTGGAGAGAAGTCAGCTGCCCACAAGACTAAGAGGTCAACCCAAGCTCTGCCCTGCTCGCTGCCCCCTGCTCGCTGGGGATGTTTTGGTCCCACCACCAAGATTCCGCCATCCCAAACCGTGCCACCTACTTCAGGAGTTTGACGTTCCAATCGTACAGGCTGTCGTTCACTAGTTCGACTGCATAGTATCCTGCAAGGCAAAAAAAAAA